TCCTGGAACTGGAGTTATGAACAGTTGTTAGTTGCCATGTGGGTGCTGGGAACTGAACCCGGGACCTCTGGAAGAACAGCAAATGTTTTTAACTGAGCCATCTCTCCAGGCTGTTTTCAAACATTTTATTAAGTCCTTCAATTTACTGACTTATGCTCATAAAAATTTAAACTCATGAGTTTTATTTTATTTATTTATAACAGATCCTCAAGCAGTCCTACGAGTAAAAATAAATTGGTCTATCTGGGCCAACTGTATGGACTTAAACACCCAAAAAAGAAAGTATAACCAAAGATTAAAGGGGCCAATATGATTTTTTAAGAGTCCATATGTTTAGCTAAAGGCTACATAACAAAAAACAATGCCAGATTGGAGATACCTTCTTTTGAGTTGTTGGCCAGGGTGGCCCAAGAGACTCCCAGATAGTAACCCAGCATAAAACTGGGAAAATGAACAGCAGACCCCAATCTTATCTAAAGGAATATTGCCAACTGATTCTACTAGATGAGGAACAGCTGACCTTCCTAAAACAAAGACCTCTAGATAGGCTGATTAGATTCACTGGATAGACTACTGGGGAATGGCTGGGGGTGCCAACAACATAGCAAACAGTGGCAGGGAAGACAGAGTAAAAGGGCTCTAGTGGGGGGTTGGCTATCTGAGGTCTTTGGTGCTTCCAAATGAATGTTAGGATGATATTTTCCAATTCTGTGAAAAATGTCATGGGGATTTTGATTGACATTGCATTGAATCTATAATTGGCTTTTGGTATGATGATCATTTTCACAATATTAATTCTTCCAATCCATGAGCATGGGAGGTCCTTCCATTTTCTGATGTCCTCCTCAATTTCTTTCTTTAAAGATTTAAAATTTTCATTATGGAGGTATTAAATGTCTTTGGAATTTAAACTCATGAGATTTATTTATTTATTTATTTATTTATTTATTTATTTATTTATTTATTTATTTATTTATTGGTAGTCTTTGGAGTTTTCTAGACACCTAAGAGCATGCCATCTGTAACAGAGATCATTACAGCTTCCCTTCTAAGCTTCAGATTCTTTTCTTGGATGAAGTAACCAGACTTATAAGCAGAGGGTGAGATGGGAGGTGTAAGTGGTAAAAGAAAATTTATTTATTTATTTATTTATTTATTTATTTATTTATTTATTTATTGGTAGTCTTTGGAGTTTTCTAGACACCTAAGAGCATGCCATCTGTAACAGAGATCATTACAGCTTCCCTTCTAAGCTTCAGATTCTTTTCTTGGATGAAGTAACCAGACTTATAAGCAGAGGGTGAGATGGGAGGTGTAAGTGGTAAAAGAAAGGGCTGGAGCGATGGCTCCAGCAGTTGAGGTAAATGAGCACATGGCTGCAAAGGGTGCAAACTTTGCTAATACAAGATAAAGACGCCCTGGTGAGCAAACAGATGGTGTAGTGCCTATAATCCGCCACGCTGCTCTATATACTTAAGTTTTTGCTAAGAGAGCAGATCTTCAGTTACATCATCATAAAAAAAATAATCATAATGACAAATAAGAAAATTTTGTCTTTGGAAAATGGTTTCATGGGTGTTCTAAATGAATTGTGTTCTCTCTCTCTCTCTCTCTCTCTCTCTCTCTCTCTCTCTCTCTGTGTGTGTGTGTGTGTGTGTGTGTGTGTGTGTGTGTGTGTGGTTTTTGTGTCCTGTATGCAGGTGTATGCACTTAAGGTGTGGTTTAGCCATTTTTATTTCTTCATTTGAGAACTCTGTTCAGGTCTATAGCCCATCTTTTTATTGATTCATTTATTTTCTTCTTCATTTTTTGAGTTCTTTGTATATTCTGGATATTGAGCCTCTCAGATCTGTAAGAGGTGATGATTTTCTCCCACTCAGTGTGTTTCCTCTTCCCTTCCTTGGTTGTTTCTTTTTTTGTACAGAAGCTTTGTAGCTTAATGAAGTCCTTGTAGCTTGTTGACTGTTGACCTTAATGCCTGAGCAGCTGGTGTCTGATTTAGAAAGTTCTTTCCCATGCTTATATCTTGTAGAGTACTACCAATGTTTTCTTCAATGTTTCGGGTGTTATACTGAGGTCTTTGATTCACTTGGAGTTGACTTTTGTGCAGAGAGAAAGATAAGGGCTAATGTCATTCTTCTACAGGTGGAGATCCAGTTTTGCCAGCATCATTTGTTTAAGATGCTGTCTTTCCTCCAGTGTGTGTTCTTGGCACCTTACTTACATGAACTCAAGTTTGGGTCCTCTACTGTGTTCCATTGATCTATGTGTCTCCTTTTATGCCAGTACCACACTGTTTTTATGACTATAGCTCTGTAATATAATCTGAGAACTAATATGATGATTCTCCTCAGTATTGCTCTTTTTGCCCAAGTTTGCTTTGGATATCTGGGGGCCTTTGTGATTTCATATGAATTTTAGGATTTTTTTTTTCTAGTTCTGTGAAGAATGTCTCAACATCCTTACTAATTAGAGAAATGCAGAGAAAAACCATTTTAATATTCCATCCTACTCCAGTCAGACTGGCTAAGATCAAGAGAACCAAAGACACCAAATGCTGGTGAAGATGTGAGAATAGGGGAACATCCATCCACTGATAGTGGGAATGCAACTCGAGCAACCACTGTGGAAAGCTCTGTGGAGAACTCTTGAACACCCAAAAGTGAACCTACCATATGATCCAGTTATACCACTTCCTGGCATATAACCAAAGGATTCATCCTACTGCAGAGATACCTGTACATTCATATTTGTTGCTGCTCTCTTCACAATAAGAAACAGAAACAACCTAAATGACCCTCAACTGACAAATGGATAATGAAAATGTTCTACATTTACACCAAGGAGCTCTACTGAGCTGTAAGAAAAAATGAAACTTGCAGGATGGAACTAGAGACTGTTGTACTAAGTGAAGTAACACAGACTCAGAAAAGCAAGAGATGTACGTTCTCACTCATTTATGTATGGTAGCACCAATCCCTTATATGTGAGTATATATCCTGATGTAACAGTTGGAGTTAGGAAAATGGAAAGAAAACAGGGAGGTAAAGGGAAAGAAAGAGCTTGAAAGAAGGGGATAGTAGGGAACAGGTGTTTCCACGGAGGAGGTGAGGAAACTGGGGGTATCTCACTGGGAGGGGAGAAGGGAGGGACATGCAGGGGACCATGGGGGTGGGCGGGAGGAAACTCAGAAGAGTGGAAATGGTGGGCTGCAGGTGCTGTAGGGGGGTGGGAAAATGGGGGTGCTTGGACTGAGGAGGGAGGCTGGGTGGTGTGGGAAGCTGGAGGGAAATGTGTTGGCTCGAGAACCCCCTGAGAAATACACATATGGAGTCTGAACATCAGTGCATATGTATACCTGGGACTCTATGGCAAGGAACACAGTGCAGACAGGAGAGACTTCCCTATGAGTGGTTAGTCAGAGTGGTCCAAGAGACTCCCACGCCACAAAGAATAAACTTGAAAACAGCTGAGATTGAGTCAGCATGTTTTAATAGGAAAAGATATTTAGCATATATGTATCAATCTGATGATATATACAAACCCATCAATAATGTATATATGAACATTTTCCTTTGTTATATTTATTATGTTTATTATCTGAGATGAATCAAATTCTCACTGAAGATTTCTATTTGTATTTTAGCACCAATGTTGCTGTATAGATCAAGGATTATAGCCCACTAAAATCCATCATACAATCTTTTTTTCATTTTATTTATTTTGTGCTGGGGGGGTACCCATGTACACCATAGCGTGGGGGGGGCAGGGCACACATGTGCATCATAGCAAGTGTGTGGTGGAGGGGGCACACATGTACACCTTAGCAAGCGTGTGGTGGGGGGTGGGACATACATGTGCACCTTAACAAGCATGTGGAAATGACAGGCCAACCTTTGGGAATTGGTTCTCTCCTTCCACCTTGTGGGCTCTGGGGATCAAAGTCAAGCTGTCAGGCTTGGCAGCAAGCACCTTTACCTGCAGAACCACCTCACTGGCCACACCACGTAGATTATTATTAATCTGTGGTCTTTGGACTTACTTTCTGAGCACAATGTGGGAAACCATATAAGGCAAAATCATCTTGATAGCCTTGACACTAATTTTTGTGATATGAATTTCTTAACCCACTTTTTATAAAGGACAGGGAATGAAAAATGTATTTAGCTTATTTTTCTACCCTCATAAAATAAAAAAGGTTACTGATAGAAGCAATCTGCATGAAGGAATAAAAAAAACCCTATAAATGGTTAGTAAGTAGGAAGTATTTCTGATATGTAAAGATGTTCAGGATGTTCACAGTGAAAAGTGTCTCAACTTTTTCAAGTGTACCTTGAGTGACCTAGACTTCTACCAAAGAATAATGATTCCGTTTGGATTAAATATTTTAGACTGGTGTACACAGGATTTGCTGAAACAGCTGCCTAGACTGGTGATCTACTGAAGTTTAGTTTTTTAATAGGCATCCATATAGACTACTGTCTTTAATATCAGATAGTCTTTTCTATATTGAAGGCATTTTTATGTTTTCTAATTAGGATATTAAAATTTCCTTGTAGATACTGTACAATGAAACGGAAGTAGAATGCATGGCTTTTGAAATGCTGTAACAGCTGACGTCTCACATTGTTTTTCTGTGGGGTGTGTGTCAGCTGGAGGTTGACAGCTGTCCTCTACCTTTCTTGAGACAGTTTCTCACTGAGCATGGAGTGCCTTTGGCTGCACTGATCCCATCTACCTCGCTAGTGTTCCATCACGTGTTTGTTGCGACGCCCAGCTTTTCACACAGGTGTGAGGAACGGAACTTAGATCCCCACGCATATCCAACAAGTACTGTATGGACTGAGCATCTCCCAAGCACACCCCCAAAATACTTTTTAATTATACTGGAGAATTTTTTTTAAATTCATGAAAATCACCCACATATACTTTAATGCAGAAGGAACCTGTTACCTGGAATGTTTTGTATCCACCATCTTAGAAGTCTATGCAAATCTTACCTAAAAGTGTCTTCTGGTAAGGAGCACATTGATGTCTCCACAAAGAAACAGCAGATCTCTCTCGATTCTGCAGTCCATTTAGTCTTTCAGCAAGCCCGCCTCTGTTTAATGAATTATACTAAGTTTAACAAGAAAGCTTCAAAACAGCTGAACGTTTATATTTTACACCCCCCCCCAAGAGCAGGAACACACAACACACGCCAAATTCCAGAATATTTTGGTACTACAGTCTTTTTTCATTCCCAATTCTGACTTTTCTTAGAGCCTGCATTTTTGATTCTTAGAAAAGTAGACTAGTGTTGCTTCCTAAGTAAGAGTCTTATACTCTTGGATGCTGACAATGAAATAGTAGTTTGATTCCCTTTCAATATTTCCTTAATCTGTTCACTCTGTAAACGTGCTCTATGTTTACTGCCTGTACTTATCACAGTGCTAGGAACAGAAGAATGCTGTGTTCTGCCAGGGACTGGGGTCTCCAAACAGGCAAACTGGTAAATGGAAAGTGAGTTCAGAGTCTCAGCTGCTGGAATTATCTAGGCGCTCGACTCCAAAAGTGTATGACCAACCTCTTTCCATCCACAATCTGTTGGTCCAACCTACATCGCTGCATTCTGCCCACCCTGATTCCTGGAACACGCTGACTCCTCCCTTACTGTTTAAATTTCATGGGCCAACATAATGGCTCTTCTTTCGGAACTTCTGTCAATTCCTTCTGATAGATCCCTGGACAAGCCCCAGTTCACAACAGCCCATGCTGTGTTGTTGAAGCCCCAGGACTCTACACTGGCCAGTTAGTTTCAAGCTCAGTTCATGCCCACCATTCCTAGTAAGACCGCATGCTGTCAGACAAGTCCAGAGTACTTCCCAGCCCACTCAACAGTGTAATGAGTCATACAATGCCCCCCTCACTTTCAGCTCTCCCTCTTCATGCTCTCTATAATCTGATTAAAGAAGTTAACTCAATAATACAGAGGTAACTGGAAAGAACTGGTTCTCAAGCCACACATACTCACGTGTACAGGCATGCATGCCTCCCTATCACTGTCCACAAATGGACCACCTTGTTCCTCTCCAGATACATCCTTGCAGCCTCCTAGACTCTACACTTCTCATGCCCCTCACTGGAGAGTCTGAACTAGTGAACAGGCCATCCCTGCTGTGGCCTCCCTTCTTCACTGCATCAGGGAAAATGTCAGTGGCTGTCCTCTTCTATCCTGACTTAGCAGTTTCTCCTTCCTTCCAATACTTTTTCCATCAAGATACAAACAAGGTGAAGGTTTTCTCATCTTTTTGAAAATTTGTTCTTGGAGAATTTCATACAATGTATTTTAATTATATTCAGACCACCTTTCCTGTCCACCTCCTGAACTGCACGTCCTCTATTATTTTCCTTTTTAAATTTTTATTTTTACTTTATGTGTATGAGTGCAATGCCTGCATGTATGTAAGTACACCCATGTTGTATAATGCCCACAGAGGTCAGAAGAGGGTATCAGATCCCCTGGAACTGGAATTACAGTTGTTAGCCTCCATATGGGTACTGGGAATCAAACCCAGGTCCTCTGCAAGAACAGCCAGTGCTCTTAACTGCTGGGCCATCTCTCTGGCCCCTACTATTTTCCTTTCATAAGGTTTATAGAGTCTAACTTCTGCTTCTCCAAAGCTCTTGGGTGTGGGTTCATCCCTTGGAGTCCAGTCACCCTACCAGGAGTCACACCCTTAAAGAGAACTAACTCTCCCTCTTCCAGCAGCTGTCAGTTACTAACAGAGCCTCAGCTAGCCCTGGGACCTCTTACTCACCTCCCCTTTACATGCTGGGTTTCTGTCTGGTTTTGGCTTGCACAGGTCTTATGCAGGTAGTCACAAGTGCTGTTAGTTCATATGTGGAAATTCCCTGTGGTGCCTAGACAACATCGTTCCCTTGTATTTGCCTACCCGCTCATAATCTCTCTGCCCCCTCTTCCACAATGATATCTGAGCCTTAGGACTGAGGACTCCACAGTCCCTTAGCCGATTACAACTCCTTAGAGCAACAGTGTTGCAAAGCCCAAGCCATGTATTTATGGCTTCCTGCTTTCTATCCTCTCTGAAATCTGCAGCGATCCATTTGACTGACCACCTCTCTGAGGCAGCGCCACACCTCCACCTTCCACAGTGAAACACAGATGTCGGCCCAAGACTTGCACTGCAGTCAGGGACCCTTTCTTCAGGAAGATACCTTTCCCTTAGGCACAATGGCGTTCTCACTTTGGCTCCTCCCTCATCAGCCCTTTTCCACAGCACAACCTCCATGAAGCTCCTGCATCCTGGACCGCCTATGAACTAACCCAGTTTTACAAGAGCACATCTTTATTGATTTTTTGAAAATTTCGTATATTTTGATCATATTCAGACTCCCATCCCCATCTCCTCTCAGATTCACCCCTTACTTCCCTGCCCTCCCCCTATCACTTCATGTTTTCTATTTTTTAAGCTCTGTCAAGTCTAGTTTGTGTTCTCCAAACACTTTTGAGTGTAGGTCCAACCCCTCGAGCTTGGTCCACTTAGCAGGCATTACACACATTAAGAAAATGGACGCTTCCCTCTCCTGGTAACTTATTTTGACAAAGCTCATGATCTAAAACCACCAGGGCACAGGCACTGACAAATTCACCACCCTAACAGTAGGCTTGCCTGCGAAGCCCAGACTCAGACTCCTCCTCAGATATTCAATGACCATCTTCAAATGGTCAAGAAACCTCACGATTTACGAGAGCACCCAAGACAAACATCACTGCATTCCCTGTACATTCCTCCTGTCTCACCTCAGGAAATGGCAGCTCCCCTTTTTTGGGCAGCTACTCAATACATAACATCTGCAGGGGTTTTGTTTAAATTGAAACAGCCCTGGAGAGATGGGACAGCAGTTAAGAGCACTGGCTGCTCTTCTAGAGAATCCAGGTTTGGTTCCCAGTACCCACATGAAGGTTGACCATTGTCCCTAACTCTAGTTCTAGGGGGATCCAATGCCCTCTTCTGACCTCCGGGGGCACTGCATGACAGGAGTACACTAACATACATGCAAGCAAAACACTCATATACATAAAATAAATAATATAAATAAATTTAAAAACTAAAAGTGAAATGATGCCTGTTTTCCCATAATGCTTCATTCCTAACGTTACAGCTACTTTACTTCCTGGCTGACATTCTCTCCCCATAACAGGCAAGGGTTTTGCCTACTGTTGGGTCTCCTGCATAGGAAAGCATACTTGGCACACAGAAGGCCCTCAGGAGGGTTGGGGACATGGTGTTCTGGAACTGTACTGTATCACCTTTAACAGTAAAGTCATTTTTATCTCAATCTCTCCCTCCCTACCTTTCCTTCCTCCTTTTCTTTCCTCCCTTTCTTCCTCCTTCATTCCGGCGTTCCTTCCTTTCTCCTTCCTTCCCACACAGGACTGAACCCAGGGCTTTGCACATGCTAGGCAAATATTCCACCTGAGTTATAGTCCTAGTTCTTGGCTTTTTGGAGTCTAACTGTACGTGGCTGGCTTCATACTCCCATGTAACCTTGGCTTCTCTTGAACTCAACAATCCTATGTTTGTACTACCACATCCAATTACCATTCTCTTCTAAGGCCACACCTTCATTTGGGGCACTGATGGATTCAAATTGGCATAACTGTGATTATCTTGAATCATAACAGTCACGACTACACCTGAGTAGCTCTGGTGGGTTTCCCCTGTAAAATTTCCCACTATAAATAAACAAAACTGTCAAAGTGTATATACAGCTTTATGACTGGACCCATCAGCACTAAGATGTGCTTGATATGTTTGATATAAGCTTGAGATAAACCAGATTCATTCTGGTCTGGATGAGGTTACTTTTGTCATGACCATTTAATAAACCGTCTTCCTCTGACTCAAATCACAGGGATCCACTAGACTTCCTGCTTTCCCCAAATCCAAACTTCTGCCAGTAAGTCACCAATTAATTGCATTCTGTATAATCTTGTAATCTCTTTTTTGGTTTCATGACATCTTGGGACAAGCTCTCATACACTGGAATGAGGGTTTTCTAGAATGGATACTCATCCTGGACCTTATTTTATAAAAACAAAACACTGGGAACAGGCATAAACTTTCTCAGCATGATACAATCATACTACCATGGACTCAACAAACACTATTCTTGCAACTACTCTAGAGGCTGGATTCCTTTCAGAACAAAAGCAGCAAACTCTCTCTACCCAGAGCAGGAGTACTAGCACTGGTTCCAAACTATGCATCACACACTCCTTTAGCCAGTAGCTCTCAGTGCACACAGAATGACCTACTTTGATGTGGAAACAACATCAATGGATTCACCTCTTCAAGACTATGTTCTCTTTCTACAGGGACTCCTTTCTCTAAGATCGCTCTACTACTTCTGCTTGATACAAGTTCTTTCTCACTTTCACTATTTTGCTTTGGTGGGGAGTGGGGCATTATTTTTTTCCTATTTAAAACAAACAACGATATATACCTAGTATGATATGGGGCTGGGACAAGTCCTACAAGGTACTTCACACATTCTGCTTGGCTCCCGACATCAGCCTCTGACTGACATACTAATGACAATGATTCCTACTGTGCCTCTCCACAGTCACACCAACAGTTTCTGGTCCCTTGTTCTTGGCTTTCTCATATTTCTATTTGCATGTGCCGATCTGACTAATCTCTCATGCCACACTCATCTCACACCAGTAAGCTGATAGGATACATATCTACTTCTATTTTTCTCTTAAAAGTTACTTGATGGGGGCTGGAGAGATGGCTCTGTGGTTAAGAACACTGACTGTTCTTACAGAGGACCCAGGTTCGAATCCCAGCACCCACACGGCAGCTAACAGCTATCCATAACTCCAGTTCCAGGGGATCCAACAGCCTCTTCTGTCCTCCACGGGCATTGCACAACAGGGGTGCATTTATCTACATGCAGGCAATACACATAAAATAAAAATAATAAATAAAAAATATTTTAAAAAGAAGTTACTTGATGAAGCAACTGTGATTCTCTTGTCTCTACTGACTGAGGCAGCACCTAAAACACTGATCCACAATGTAACTTGATAAGCTAAACAACAAATTTCTACTAAGAAGGTAGTCATGCAAGTCAATAATGCTCCACCTGAATGAACAATTTCTTAAATCAGCTCCAGAACAGGCTTCAGTAATAACTTACCAAAATTACAATTCTATTTTGTTCATTTTCTTTCTCGATTAAACAAGTTTTTTTTTGTTTTTTGTTTTTTTTTTGTCTTTTTGAGACAGGGTCTCCCTGTAGTCCCAGCTGACCTGAACTTACTATGTAGACCAGGCTGGCCTTGAACTCACAAAGATCCGCCTGCCTCTGCTTCCTTTGAATGCTGGGATTAAAGGTGTGTGCCACCACGCCTTGCCTGAGTTTTTGAAGAAACAGAAAAACTGAAGAAAAAAAATATTTAAAATATGATTTAACCTTAAAAGCTTCTTTTTCGTTGCTGAATTTTCTAGAGTCTTGGGAAACTTGGCTGTCTCTTTCTGGGGTGAATTCAAGCTGGGCTCTGTTGATTTTGCCTTTGAGTCAATCAGTCTATGCATAATCTGTCTTGTGTCTGATTCAAAATCCACAGAGTATTTGTGAGGGGAATCTGCATCAATGAACAGGACATTCTCCGGGTCATCTTCTTTGTCACTCTCAGATGAATACTCCAAAATTTCTGTAGAAATTGGCTTGAAAAAATAAAAGTTATAATTACATATTGTTCATTTAAGCTCACATGTAGACATGTTATCATACTTTTGTTGTTGTTGTTTTGGCTTTTTTGAAACAGTCTCCCTGTAGCGCCAGCTATCTTGGAACTCCCCATGTAGACCAGGCTGGCCTGTATCTCACAAAGATCTGCCTGTCTCTGTTTCCGGAGTACTAGAATTAACGGTGTGAGTCACCAAGCCTGGCCACATCTATCACTGTTCTGAAGCAAACTGCAGTACAAGACAAGAAAGAAGAAATTAAACTAGCTGCAGGTCAGACACTATTTCATAGACTCCATCAACATCAACACAAGTGTATTTCTATCTCCCTCCAGGAAACTAATAATAGGTGCCATGCCATAAGTATAGGCAGTCTCCAAAATAAGCTGGTAATAGTATCTGAAAGGCTAAGGACGTCATCATTATCTGATACTTACTGAGCGAGAAAAATAGAAAATTTCTCTTGGATTTTAAAATTTAATGAGGAGATAAACAATACTATTTGTTATAAACCAAATATAAAGATTTTGTGTCTTCAGGTATAACCCATTTAGTTCAACAAAGAAACTGACAAGAGTAAATAGGAAAACTTCTAGCACAATTCCAGTATATTTTCTACACAATAATTAGGTCTTGTTATTAGCAACAGGAAGTATCTAAGAATGTGAGTCATTGACTAGCTTCTTAAACATTTCTTAACATGTTTCTTCCTTGTTTTACCAAATTTCTGAATTTAGTTACTGTAGTTTGAATGAGAATGTCCCCATAGGCTCCAAGTACTTGGGCATTCTGTCCTCACTTGGTGGTGTTTTGGGGGAGGTCTTAGGAGGTGCAGCCTTGCTAAGGGAGCACGGTACTGGGGCGGGGCGCTTTGAGAGCCTTTAAGCTTTGCCATTTCCAGTCTCCCGGCCCTGTGCCTGCTTGGAGATGTGAGTGGTTGGCTTTCTGCTCCAGTCACCTGTGCTGCCATACCCCGCCCCCCAACCATGATGCACTCTTACCCCTCTGGAACCATAAACAAAATAAACTCTTCCTCTTATAAGTCGCCTCGTCCAAGGTGTTTTATCACAGCAACAGAAAAGTAACCAATACAAATATTTCTGAAAATTGGGTTAAAAAACAGAAATTTGTATCACAGGGCCATCCTGCAGAGGAAAATCAGTTATCTTTCTTTTTCTATTTTCTGTCTTTGCTCAGATACACACTAAAATACCATGATGGAATTATTTGTTTATTCCACGGTTTTGTAGATCTCTTAGAGATGTTAGCACCAAATCCTTTTATGTAAGTATATAACCTGATGTAACTACAGGAGTGAGGAAAATGGAAAGGAACCATGGAGGCAAAGAAAAGCAGCAGCTTGAGAGAGGGGAAGTAGGACACACCTGTTACCAATGGTGAGATGGGAGAAATGGGGGCTGGGAAGGGAGAAGAGACAGTTATATAAGGAACCATGGGGGTAAAGTAGAAGGAGCTCAAGAGAGGGGGGCTAATAGGAGACAGGTATTATTAAGGGGAAATGGGAGTACTTTAACTGAGGAGGAGGGAGAGTTAGAAAGAGGGAGAGGGAGGGAGGGAAGGAGAGAGAGAGGAGAAATAATACTTGAGGTATAGAAACTCAGAGGAAATGTATTAGTTCAACAGTCTACTGAAAAATACACATACAATATCTGTATATGAGTGCATGTGTGTCCTAGTTTGTTTCTTCATTGCTATGACAAAACACTCTGACCAATAGCAACTTGGGGAGGAAAGGGTTTATTTAGCTTACATTTCCTGGGTCACAAGTTATCCGGGAGACCAAGGTAGGAACTCAGGGCAGGAACCTAGAGGTAGGAGCTGGAGCACAGGCCATGGAGGAACACTGCTTACTGGCTTGCTTCCCTGGCCCCTACTCAGCCTGCTTTCTTAAGCAACACAGGCCCACCTTCCCAGGGGCGGCACCACCCACTGTGGGCTGGGCCCTCCCACATCACTCAACAATCAAGAAGATGCCCCATGGACATGGCCACAGGCCAGTCTAATGAAGGAAATTCCCCAATTGAGGCTCCTTCAACCCAGGTGTGTCAAGTTGACAGTAAAGCTATCCAGCACAATGTGTATAGCTAAAGGAGATATAACAAGAAACAGTGTCAGACAGGAGAAATCTCCCTTGGAGTTGTTAGTCAGGGTAGTCCAAGAGACTTTCAAAACAACACAGGCTACTACCACAGCCCTTGATTTTCTCCCAGTACTTGAAGGTAAGAATGTATTGCTGAAGACAGGACATACTTCAGAAACATGACTTGGAGCAATGGAGCTGAAACTGGCCTGGAAGCTTCCTCCCTGAAGACTAGCTCTCACGGTATCAGAGGATACTATATAGTTTGTCAAGGGAGAAAAGCAATCAGTGGTCCTAAACAGCTGTAAAGCCTAGTAAATAACAGTGACTGGCCCAGCAAACTATTGCTATTGTTGCAGTAGGAGCACTTTTATCTTGGGGGTAATCAACACCTGTCTAATTGGAATTAAGGTCCTCTCAATGGGAGGGACCTTATGAGTGGTACTATAAACATAGCCAAATACATATGGCAGGAGAGGTCACAGACCTAGAGAAAAATATGCTTTTGCCACATTCCTAGATCAACATAATTTCTTACTTTATTCCAAATATGCATTCTTATATTTACAGACAAGTACACCTGTCACCACTCATCAAAGAAACTTCCTTTTGCAAAATATGGAGATTAGAGTTCTACAACTGATAAAATGCAGAGAATAAGCGTCTGTGAGACACTTAGCCCGAAATGCTGCATCTTTGATGCAACCTCTCTACATAAGATGAATGCATCTCTCAACTCTCACCACAGAAGCTTCCTTGTACAACAGATGGTGATTAACACAGAAACCTACAACTGGCCAATGTGTAGCGAACAAGAGGCTGCAGAGTGCTCATCCTTGAGTAGGACACTTATTTCAAACTTCTGCCTCCCAAGGCTCAGGGAATCATTGTGGAAGAAGGGGCAGAAAGATTGTAAGAGCCTGAGAGAGTAAATGACAAGGAAACAGTTTTCCAGACAGCTGGTCTGTTACTCATCTGAAGTCATAGCAATTGTGACAGCATGCACAAATCCCATCCAGGCTCGAACCTGACAAAATCCCAGCATAGACATGGGAAAGTGGGTAAAAAAAAATTTCACTCCAACCTATGAATCATTTGGCAACTGATAGCTGCTGGGAGGAGGAGAGACAGTTCCTTACAAAGATGGGTCTCTTGGCAGGTTTACAAGGCTCCAGTAGATAGACCCACACTGAGGGACATTTGGAGACACAAATCGAACTCTACAGGCATTTTATATATCTCTCCACCCTACACACACTCACACACAAAAATATATATATATATATATATATATATATATAATCAAATTGGGCAGGCATCAGTAAGGGGGAGATGTAGATAGGGCGAGGGAATCTAAATATTATCAAACTATAGTATATGAAAATCACAAATATTCAGTTAAAATTTTTTTAAAGATATTACTGACCTCTACATCTTCTCATAAAAATAGTTTGGGTAGTCACCTGCTGTTAGGCACATTGTATTTACAGACAAGTAAAACATTCGCCACTTAACAAAGAGGCTTCTTTTTGCAACAGATGGAGACTATTACAGACTATTATGGAGTTCCACAACTGGTTACAAAGAATAAGTGTCTGTGAGATGCTTAACCGTAAGTGTCATACATCTCTCAACTCTCACCAGTGAAGCTTCCATGTGCAACAGAGGGTGATGCACACAGATGGTCACAACTGGACAGAGTGTAGAGAATAAGAGACTCATAGTGCTTATCCCTGGATAGGACTGTTATTTTAAACTTACCCACAGGGCTCAGGGATCACTGTGGAAGGGGGTCAGAAAGACTGTAAAAGCCAGGGTTGGTGCATGAACAAAAGGTAACAGAGGCTTCCAGGCCTCTGGAAACTTGCTTATATGAACTTACAGCAATGGTGACAGCATGCACAAGACCCGTACAAACTCAATCAAACAAAAACTCAGCACAGAACTGGGGAAATGGGCATCAGGCTCCAACTTAGCTGAGGAACTACTGGCAGCTGATTACTGCTGAATAAGAAAGAATTGATCTTCTTTAAGGGAGAGGCTCTAGATAGGCCAACTAGACTCCAGTAGATAAACTTGCACTGAGGGATATCTGGGTACGCAAACTTGGCTTGATAGGCTTTAACACAGATGTCAGAATACATGAAATCCAGTGTGTGTGGGGGTGACTATGAGGGGTGCAAAAGGGGGAAGGAGCCTAAATATGATTACAATGTATTGTGTGAAATGCACAAAAATTCAATAAAAAATGTACACTGATGGGAAAATAAGATACTCCCCATCTCTGTATCCTCTAAAAAGACTGTGTGGATAGTCACCTCCTATTAGGCACATCAATGATTTTGATCATTTAAAGAATAAAGTAAATGAAGCGTTTATCCTCTCCGCCTGCAGTTTTGTACCTGAAGCTACCCGTTCACCCATCAGTTAAGCAGGAGGAACACCAGCTTTCTGCAAATAGCTTCAGAACAAATGCCAACAAAGAGTCACGCAGAACCAGAGGAGCTCAAGTTGAAAAGAGTCCTCCTTGATGCTGCACTCCTTTTCCATGACTTGAGAATTCTCCATATTAAAATAATTTCATCTTCTTAAATCTTATATCTCATTTTCTGTATAAGCCTAGGCAGCTCTACCACTGAGCACTCTTTTCACTTTTAATTTGGACATAGTGTCTCACCATGTTGTCCAGGATAGGCTTTCTCTCTCCGTGTCTAAAGCACACTTTGAAATTGCAGCTTTCCTGTCTCGGCTGCTGAGTAACTAGGATTTTAGACCTGTACAACTAGGCACAGCTGAGATATTTTCTTTAGGATATAGCTTTGTACTTCACTCAAGCCAGGCATGGTGGCACACACCTTTAATCCCAGCATGTGGGAGG